AAGTAAATTACTAAAATCAAAGGAATTTTTAATGAAAAAATGGGAACATAAAAGAAAGCAAAGTTCTGTTGAAGAAAGAAGATATAAAAGAGCAATAGTGTGATTATATGGAAGAACTGTGCAAAAACAGTCCCAAATTCTATGATACACACCAAGACTTGATCATTGAACTAGAACCAGACATTCTGGAAAGCGAAGTTAAATGGGCCCTAAAAAATATTGCTAACAATAAAGCTGCAGGAGCTGATGAAATACTAGCTGAATGGTTTGAAAACTTAGGCAGTTAACATGCTACTTGTCTGGAAGGAAGCAAGGAAAACACAGCAGTGGCCAAGAGACGGGAAATGATCAATTTATATTCCAATATAAAAAAGGCAGTGCTAAAGAAAGTTCACACTACCAAACAATTGTATTTATTTCACAAACTAGTAAGAAAGTGGTCAAGAATGGGAAATGCTAGATGTACAAACTTGATTAAGAAGAGGCAATTGTACCTAACGGTGCATTTGATGGATAATGGAATATCTGATGGATAATGGAAAAGGCAACAAAATTCCTAAAAGATGTTTTTGCTTTTCCAATTATATGAAATCTCTGTGCAGTGGGGACCAGATACAGATCTCCGATTCCAGCCTATAGCAATCAGAATATTTTAGATGGCAGGATCAATAAAAATATTTACTATCATTACTGCATATTACAATTTTGTTTATATCCTTGTATTTCATTGAGGTATTTCTCATGTGCAAGGAATGCAGATCTTATGTAGACCAATAGGTTGATATCCCTGTGGTTCCTACCCAAAGACTGGAGGCCGGAGAGTTTGGATGAGAGGGAGAATGGGCTTCAATTCAGTTCTGGCAAGACCAAGGGAAGTCCATGTTTGACTCTGAATGAGGTTACACTCCCCAAGACAAAAGTGATGCAAAACCTGTGGGTTTTCCTGGGTTCACCAACTCTTGCTCAAAAAACAGGTGGCAACTATGACCGGGAACCCCTAAACACAAGTTTAGCTTGTATGCCAATTGTGCCCCTTTCTGAATTGGAAAGCCTTATGGTAACCAATGTCTTAATCACCTCCCATTTAATTTACTATAATGGGGCTGCCCTTGAAGAACATCTAAACACTGCAACTGCTCCAGAATATACAGCAGCCTGGGGAACATTTGTGATACACTTCTATAAAACTGCAGTTCTTCAAGCTTTATTGGCTTCAAGTGGGCTGCCAGGTGCTATTTAAATTGCTCATTATTACCTATAAAAACCTACATAGTACCAGGCCAGACTACTTGTGGGCTTGCCTATCTCCTATTGTTTTTGCTCACCCCACCAAAGCCAACAGGCTGGACAAGTTTCTGGTCTCTGCTATCAAGCAGTGTAATTTTGGTGGATCTATGCTTTCATGCTTTCTCTGTCTCATGCTTTCTCTGTCACAGTGCCTGCTCTATGGAACAAAAATGGCCCCAACCACATCAGCCTTTTGCAAGGCACTAAAGACCAGATTGGTCCCTAAGGCATTTGGGCCAGGAGGTTAAGTGGCCTCTGCTGATTGACCGGCTTTATTGCTGTGTTTTTCCCCCTGTTTATAAATTGGGAAGTAGTCTTTTCTCAACTCCATATGTTATGTGGATAGTAGGCTGTTTTAATTCTATTTGGGAGAGATGGGTTAATTCTTTATATGCTGCCCAGAATCACTGCTGTGAGATGGGTAGCCATATAAATTGTTTAAATAAACAAATACAACGATGATTATATTAAAATTAATTAAAATCCTGGTGAAAGAGATGCCTGTTGGCTCCTATTCTATAGGCAGCTCATTCTATAGCTCGAAACAAAGCAAATGACTCTTTTCCATGTGTTGAATTAATAAACCTCTTACAGTGGAGGCATCTTCAGAAGGCTCTCTCTCTTATAAATCTTAACACTCAGACATGTTTGTAATACACAAGGTGGGCCTTCAAACAGTCAGGTCTTAAGACATCTAAGATTTAAAGATTAATATCAGGCACTTAAATTAGGCCTTCTAAATAAAGTGGCAATCAATGCAGATATTTCAGGAAGCATAGTGCATTATTTCTGTATGTTGAACTGACTAGCACCTTGCTACTGCATTTCATGCTACTTTTCAGTAGCCTTTTTAAGTTATTTGTCTACGTGTTTCTCTTAATATATGCATAAGTACTTTTTCCCAGTATGTTGCATTTTTATATATATGTTCATATATAGAAGCTTTTCTATGTACCAATAGGTAGGTGACTGCACACACATTTTATTAGAAACCCATCTTGCAAAACAGGAGAAATCACATGAATTTTAATTTACTTATTGGTCTGAAAATCTGAAATTTGCTAAGATCACATTAAAATGTGAGTTAAACTACTAACTCCAATATACTGTATCAGAACTATAGCTATCAGCATAATTAAAAACATCAAATTTTGGAGGAAAGGTCTAGAAAGGCTAATAATATTCTGAAACCTTTTAATATTTGTTGGAACAAAAATGGAAAGAGTGTCCTCTTGTGGGTAGGAATATGAATAAAATGAAACAGAAAGAATAATAATTTTAAGTGAGGGACTATTAAAAACATACATAACAGTTGCACTTTTAAAATTAAGCAAGTTTGTGTCTGACATCTGACTAAATATTGCAAATAGAACTGAAATAACTGGAACTGTACAACAAAGTTAGTAAATAATCCATTTAGTTCCTGCCTAAAATATTGTTCCTGTTTTCTGCTTCTTGATACGTTTTCCCCATTTTTTTGACCACTAATATGCTCCAAAAGATATCTCAGCCACTAGTAATTCACATATATTGAGGGGGAAAAAGAATAGCTGTTGCCATTTGATTGGTTGTACTAGGACCTTCTGGTATACAGCTCCAAATCTACTGACTCTAGATTTTATTATTCAAAAACTTTTTTTCAATAGATTTTAACAAGTATTAATAAGAAAAAATGTGAAGATACTTTCAACAAGTATTAACTTACTGGTACATTTCTGAATCTTATTTAATGCAGTTTAAGTTTTTGCTCTCTTCTTGTGGTTATTTGTCTTTAGATGAGGACTTCAGATAGTCTCTGGCCTATTAGGTAGCAGCAACAGCAGCAGCTTTTTGTGACTTCAAAAAGCTAAACAGAATCACATCTAGTTAGTAATTGGATGGGGGACCAATACAAAGTAGCAGGGCTGTAGGCTACAGTAGACAGTCAGAACAACCCAGAAGAAGGAATCACAAACCAATTCTATATTCTTTGCCAAGAAAATAGATGACATGTATATGTTATCAGGAGTTAAACTTGATTCAAATGCGGCTCAAACAAACTTTGGTGCTAAACCAATTATGATAATAGTAATTAATAAGAGGTATAAGAGCCAGCTAAAATCTGCCTCTTCTCCAGGACCATGATCCTAATGAGATAAGACTATATCCTCTAACATTTGTAATTAACCTTCTTACAAATTATGTTGGAAGAATTTGACTTGGGAGTTACCAAATTCACTATAGACAAAATAATTTTCCCTTTTCGACAAACTACTGTTTGATGTAACATTTGTAGCCAAGTCATAATATGTATACAGGAAGTTCTTCTCCTGTTTGCACATACATAAAGAAAAATTCAGCTCTATTGTATAACTATTTTTCTTTGAGCAACAGATTGTTATTTGCAGCTGAAGACTCAACCACAGACCCTGGATTAAAAGAAGTTTTCACACACAGAGGCTGAATTTCTAATCCCATGTTTAAGTGACAAATGGGGAAGGCCAAGCCTTGATGTCCTGCTTCGGAGCTTCTCCAGGCATATAACCGGCCTCTTCTTTCCAATTCATTCCTGCCCCTCCAATTCATTTATTCCATGTAATTAATTGCCTCCTCTATTTTCCATCCCCCATAATTGTGAGCAGACAATTTAAAGTTTCCCACCAGCAGCTCTCTCTCCCTATCTCCTCAGTTACCTTTTTCACATTCTTCTCACTTAGTGCAGAGTCAGTTCTTTGGTAGGAAAGTAAAGATTTACACAACTTTAAATTGGCAACTGCTGACTGATTAGTAGTACCTTTTTCCTGCCCTGCAAGGTCTTGTGCCTTCAAGCATCCTGTCTTCAGTTCTTCTAATATTGCTTTGCATAGTATTCAGTCTTAATCTATAGAAGAAATAGAATCTGAACTCTGTAATTTGAGGGGAGGAGATTCTCCCCCTGTGCCAAGGCAACTTACTTTCCCTACTGGTGCTGATATGGAATTTTAAAATTGAGATTGTTCTGTATTTTATCAATGCCACAACTTTAAATACATATTTGTGTAAGATTAATTGTATTGTGTCAGATCCTTTTGTAGCTGTCATTCTTCGGCAAAACACAACATAAATATTTGATTTTGTTAAAAAAAATCATGCAGGTTATTCTCATATAGATTCATTTTTAAAGAATTTCCTCAATAAGATCGCTGTTGGCACGTGAAAATGAAAAAGGCCTATAGCTTTCCCTACCATGACAGACCCCCCCCCCAAAAAAAATGATCAGACACCAGGTCGGAAAATTAAAGATGACACACATTAATGTTCATGTTTCACCAATTGCAGAAAAAGTTTCATGGAAATCAGTTCACCTTAGTCTCCTTGGAGCCCCAATGCATCTCACCCCATCAAGAGGGGAAAGCCAACACAGTTTTGGTGATGCCAAGCATCACCAGTAAAAGCAATCCAAAAAGATAATCACGCCCTGCTCTTCTTTCTGGCAGGTTTCGGGTGCTTATAATTAGAGCTCCATCACAAGTAGCCAGTTCCTGCAGCTCCCCAATGGAACTTTTCCGGTGGACTTTGTCGAATGACCAACCTGCGGCTGCTCTTTCTAAGGGTTCTGCTGGGGAAAGGCAAGATGCCGAGAACCCGTTCAGCAAAAAAGGGAAGGAACTTCGTCAGCTCCCCCGCCCAACATTTAGACAAAAGAGGCGCCTCGGAAACCGGAACAGCCCTGAAAACCCAAACTCTGAGAAGAGAGCGGAGCCCAGCGACGGAAGAGGAGCAGTAACCGGCGACACGGGGTCGACGCTTTGGGCGCCAATCGCGCCACGCCATAAGGAAGACCTCCTCTCCAGCCACTCCGGGCTAAGCCAACTTTCGACGCCTGCTTATTGCTGGTGGGCCATGGCTGAGGGGACAGGCTGTGAGGCGCCCAAAGCGTGCTTGGCCAAGATAGTGATGGTGGGTGACTCCTTCGTGGGGAAAACCTCGATCCTGAGGCGATACACCGACTTTTGCACCACCGCCTGCGCGCCGTCTTCCTATATCACCACCGTCGGTGAGTAGTACACGCGCCCCGAAGGCGCTCGTTTCCCGTGCCTGGTGCGCCCGAGACGCTCGGCGAAATTACACTGGGCGAGCCTAAGCCCCGTATTTCCTTTGATTATGCGGACCTGGGTTCAAGTAACCAGAGAAAGAGAAAGGCGTAACCGCCCTGTCCCGCCCGCTTTATTTCCTGGTAATCATAAACTAAAACACACACCCTCAAAGTCTATGGAGATTCTCAGTCATCCAGGTCCTGGTTGTCCCAAAGGTGCTTTTTTTCAAGAGGCAACTGGACTTCCTGATTTTTTATTTTTTATTTTTGTAGACGTTTGGCTTCTCATCCAAGAGCTGAAGAAGCTTGTTGGATGAGAAGCAAAACATCTTCAAAGAAATACCAGAAAGTCCAGTTGTCCTCTTGAAAAAAAAAGCACCTTTGGGATACACCGTAAAAGATGGTTGTCACTGAGATTTCATTCAGTGTGATAGGGCTGTATTCTGTCAACATCTGCAAAGTGTGAAATTTAACAAATTTGCACTTGAAACCTTGCAGCTCACACACATCACACTAAACTGTACTATGGTTTATGTATCTAACTTGATATACTGCTAGTCTGGGTTTGGATCAGTGTATAACCCAGACACTGTGGGTATATTTTTTACTTACCGTGTTTCCCCAAAAACAAGACCCCGTCTTATATTTTTTTAAACCCTGAAATAAGTGCTTGGCCTTATTGCCATGTGGTCCAAAGTCCAATTGGGCTTATTATCAGGGGATGTCTTATTTTGGAGGAAATAGGGTAGCTCTGGACGTTAAATAAGGAAACCATGACTTCACTTGTGAGGCATTTTCCCACTAGTGACTTACCGTAGAACATCTTCCAGCATCACCCAGCCTCCAGGAAAACATAAAAAGTATTCCCATTACTGTTATATTGTCTCAACAATATAACAGAAACCCTCCTGTATCATTAGTGGGGAAGGTATCCCTGGGTAAACCTTTTCACCACTATGTATACATAATAAACAAAAACATTACAATCCCTCCTCTGTTGCCTTGGATGTAACTTTGTGCCTCTGCATCCTTGTAACTTTATGCAGAAGTGAATTGCAATCGTGTGCACATCTTTTTTGGGAAGAAAGATCCAAGGTCTGAGTATGGATACCTTCTCCTAACTAGTAATCTATGACTCTGTGTATAAAACTATAAGCCAGAATGTGATCTTTTGGGCTTAGAGGTATTCAAATTCAGCCAAGTGTGTTATGTAAACCATAAGAAAATGCATCGTGTGGACAGAGCTCACAGATTTTTCCTCAGGTAACAGCTGAAAGCCTAGGGTCAGCTGCCTTCATTGTGTACAATATAACATATGGACTATGTTTTCAAGATACGTTAAGCTATAAATTTCTGTTAACAAGCACAGACTACCATAACACATGCACCTAGCCTTTTAAGTGTTGTCTCTGGTTTATCATATCATCCATAGTGAAACGGATGTTACCTTTCAGTTTGAAACCCAAGAGCTTTGTCCCCAAGCTTTATCCTGGGTTACAAATTCCATTTCAGGTTTACTCAAAAGTAGGGATGTCACATACAAGTGGGGATGGGTAATATGGGTGTAGAGAGGGCTTAGTGGCATGGTATTCCATTAACTGAATTTTATAACTTATCATTTCATGCAAATAAAATCATAGTTACGTTTGAACTAAGCATAAATCTGTATTGTGAGGCAATCACATTTTCTCAGTGGTGGAATTCAAATTTTTTTTACTACCAGTTCTTTGGGTGTGGCTTGGTGGGCGTGGCAAGGGAAGGATACTGCAAAATCTCCATTCTCACCCCATTCCAGAGGAAGAATACTGCAAAATCTCCATTCCCTCCCCACTCCTGGGGGAATGATACTGCAAAATCTCCATTCCCACCCCACTCTAGGGTCAGCCAGAGGTGGTATTTGCCGGTTCTCCGAACTATTCAAAATTTCTGCTACCGGTTCTCCAAAACCTGTCAGAACCTGCTGAATAGCACCCCTGCATTTTCTCCTTTCTGTTTCCTATGTTGAAACTGAAACTCTAAATTATTTAAGCAGGGCAAAGTATGACCAGTCTATTTTCTATATGTGTTATGTAGCCCCATGTTGGTGAGTTGTTCTAAACTGGGAAATTACCATACATGATATTTTAAAAGAGTTTCACCAGCAAAAAAACCCCATGGTCCTGTCTTTGAAGACAATTAGAGAGAATTAATTGTAACTATTGACCATAATCCAACCCTGAATTGGTTATGCTTATTAAATTGATTATGCAAGTCTAATTCTGTGCCTCATTGTGTCCATGAAGTTTAAAAATTCTTTATGCACATATATATGAACCATATATGGAATCTCTTTGATTTCTTTAATGGCATGGACATAAACTATAAATAAAACGATTCACTCACATATATTATGCTATTCCTCTAAGCATTCTTCAGTCTCATTGATTTCCACTTGGTCGTCAAATTGAATAAAAGCTTCAGAATCTTTATGAGAGATAGATGAATTAAGGCTAGGTTCTGTCAATCTAATGTAAATATGCTAATGAAGATTTGCTCATTATAGTCAACCCCATCTGGAAGTTTACTGTTCAAAGCAGCTATCGCCAGATCATTGATTCTAGAAAGAAAAGTGTCCGGGGTGGGGGTGGGGGAATAGGCCCACCTTCTGTTTAAAAAAAAAAAGGCAACAGGAACTTACTGGCAGTTGGTTCTATGAAAAGAGGAAGAGATTTATTGAAAACCAAACTCTACATTTGTAGAGATATTATTGTAGTTATCCTGGCAGAAAACAGATTAATAGAGGAAAATAAACTGATGTACCTTAAGTGGCTTCTCATGTATTTGACTTGAATTTTAGAAAATGTATATAATGCCACCAGTAAAAGATAATATGTGGGCAAATTAGGCACAGCCTATAGCTTTAGATGCCACTCCACCCACACTGGAAAGTTTATAACACAACAGCCATATTAGTATAAAACAAATGTTTGGAATATTCTCCTTTCCCAAATAGCTCAATACAATGTTTTTTAAATCATTTGTAGAAAATGGTTGTACACACATTTATTTGATTCTCATACACATAACAATTTAACAGTTCATATTTTTGAGAAATCATTTTATTGATATTTTTAAGAGAATAACAAATATGCCAATATTGTAACTGGAAGCTAGAAGAATATCAATTTTGGATTCTAAAATTGTGGGATGCCTCTGCCACAGGAGAAGGTGATGTTGGTCTTGTTTTCAGACAGAAGACGTTAGTTAGGTAATGTGCTAGAGACACACTTTAAGCTAGGAAAAAAGTATTTTTAATTTATTTTAGATGTAATTAAAATAACATTACCACAAATATGATTTTAAATTCTCTGTGCCTATTCTGTACCAAAGCAGTGTTATTACTATTGCCCAGATTCAATTTTTCAATAGAGATAGGGCAAAACATGATCCTTTGAGATCAGAACATTTTGAATGCAAAAATCCTTTTGCGTGTTTCTATTTTGAAAAAGATAAAGTATGTATCAAAATAGAGGAAAATGCATCAAAGAAGAAAGAAGGTTTTGTTCATGGATGAAAATTCAACAAAAGATTCACAGGGAAATTTTTTTAAAAAAATATTCAAATTAAATTAATTTTTCGTAATTTTCTTTTCCATAATGTCTAGTCTTGAATTATCAGATCTGAAAGTTCTTCAGACTGATTCTCAATTAGAATTTAAAAAATTAATCTTTGGAGTTGTAAAGCAAGGTTCTCAACACAAAATAGTACTTTGTACGTACCAAAATAAAGTTATCAAATTAATATTCTAGCTTTAAGGAAAAACTAATTGTGCCAATGGCATTTTTCAAGAGAAGGATCATATGACAGTTCACAAACATTTGCAGTGGCATGATAATTTGCAATCTGTATGCATGATAACATCTAACTATAATACTTCAGCAAGTTCACATTCAGTCTGGGATGAACAAATTCCTGTTATTAATTAAAAAGCCAATTTGCTTGATTGCAGAAAAGTATCATGCATAGTATGTAGACTGTAGGGTTGCATACATAGGGCAGGAAAAATCTTTGATGACTACTAGCTAAAAATTTTAACTCTAAATAAAGGAATTTAAAATTGAGGATAGAAACAAAGGGACTGATTAATATAACAGAATAGAAGACTTATGTGCTATTAATAATCATGAAGTTGAAACACTTTACTCTTTAATAGTAATTTTACTAAAAATTACAATTACAACAAAAACTAATACAAGCTAAAAAAAGAATACAAAGAACAATAGAAGATGCAGAAAATGAAAAAGAAAAAATAGAAGGGGAAAATAAGAATGTAATAAAGTAAAGAAATATATAAAGAAGTGACTTCCCCTTCATCATAATATAATCAATTTTAGTAACTTATCATGTACTCTTATAATGCAACTATTTCTTCTTCCCATATTCCATCTCTTATCTATAAACAAATCCACAAGGCTCATCATTTCAGTCTTGATTTCAGCAGAGGTCCTTTAAGAGTTACCACAGATAACAATTGATCAGATATACCAACTTTATATTCCTTCCTTTACTTTTAAGTGTCTTGATCTTTATTCCCTTTAAACAGAGTCTATCCATAGAGGCAGAAAGTCTTAAAATTAAATTCTGGGTCCATTGTTCAAAAATCTTTAATATGTCCAATGTTAAAGTATTTTGCTTCAGTCTGTATTTGAAAGTTGAGTCTGAGTTTACTCCTTAAATTGTAATCTTTAGTTCCTTCTAGTGTCAATTTTTTAAAGTTTCATTATGTTTTTAAAAGAATTACAATAAAAGTATTTTCCCCTGGAAAGGATCCATTTTAATTAATTCCAAAATCTCAATTCAAATTTATCTGGTCTTTTAATCCAATTGTAACTTTCTAAAATCAAAGTTCTGATCAAAGTTCTTTTGCTGTTTTTTTTATTAACTCTTTAAGCTTGTGTTTAAAACTTATTTTTTCTTAAGAT